CTGCTCACTGCAGTACAGAGGATTTTTGTTTACTGTGTAGAGGTTTTCGTGAGGAGCGGTGGAGGGTAAAAAAAAAAAAGTACTCTGAAGAACATGAGTCAGCGTGTAAAGCAGAAGTCTGACAACAACAAGCAGCACAGATCAAGAAAAACTCACAATGCACTGTGAATGGCACAGAAACTATCTCCCTGAGAGATACAAGGGAAGCTACTCTTTCTGTTTTCAAAAGCCCATGAAATATTCATCATTCAGACTTGGCTAATTCGGGCCATCAAGATCTTTAAGGTGAGTTAGTATGACACAGATTGTCAGAGTCGGCGAGGGAGGGAGAGAGTGCGAGCAGTCATTTTCAGACTATTTGGTTATGCATTAAAAATGCATGGGATGAATTACATTCTATTCCTGGCCTCTGTTGAGGAATTCACACTAGGGTCCAAAATCGAGCACTTGGCAAAACAGAGAATAAGAATAACTTTAAATTTCCAATCGCTGAAACTTCACTTGAGCAAAAAAAGACCAGCAAAGTGTTCAATAAAATATGATTTTACTGAATATTTAAAACATAGTGTGAAGAAACTGTATAAGTTACACTGCTTTAGGATTTGGAGACATTATTCCATAAAGGTAATTTTGTGCCACTAGCAGCATCAAATGGAATTGAAAACTAAAAAAAAAAAAAAAACCTTTCGAAAGCACCACAGTGTGTAAATACCGATGATACGATAATTTGTTAACACTTTACAATATGGTTCATTAGTTAACTACTTTAGTTAACATGAACTACGAATGAACAATACTTAAACAGCATTTATTAATCTTAATGTTAATTTCAGCATTTACTAATGCATTATTAAAGTCAAACGTTGTGCTAGTTAACAATAATGCACTGTAAACTAACATGAACTAACAATTAATGACTGTATTTTCATTAACTAACATTAACAAAGTTTAATAAATACTGTAACAAATTTATTGTTCATTGTTTGTTCATGCTAGTTAATATATTAACTAACATTAACTAATGGAACCTTATTGTATTATTTTTCTTATTTTCATATGTCTGAAAACTGATGTTGTCAGTATTACCAATACAGATATTCCATTTTTTTTGCCTAAATGTAAAAAAAGAATAAATCACTAAAAAGTCAAATCAACAATTTAAAAAGATACAAGGCAATTTAGGTATCACAACATTATAATGCACAGTATGAAAAAAATGACTTTACTTTTGAGATCTAATAAAATTATTATTAATAATAATATAATTTATTAAATTATTAGTCAATAAAATTAACTTCAGCGCAAGATGATTACAAAAATAAATAAATAAATAAGCATACACAATTAGATATCCAATATTGCATGACACCAATAATTTGAAAATAAATACATATATTATCTACAATATCACCAATATGCTATACATTTATTGTGCATTCCTAGTGTTTGCACTTCTCCAGGAAGGAATAAACTGGATTATGAAATTTTTATTTCAACTACACATCACCTATAAAATTTACTTTGACAAGCTCAAGTCAGAAAAGTTTCCATGAGTACATTCTATCTGAAGTCAGTCCACTGCACAAAACAAGATTTCCCAAAGTCCTCCATCCACGGCCCTTTCTGTGAGTTCAAAGACGACTGAGCTGGGTTCACCTCTCTCTGAGCGAGCACTTTCAAGCAAGCTCACGGCCCTGAAAGCACGGCTTTCATAGCTTCTGGCCAAACATGAGTGAAATGGCCCAGTGATTTGATGGAAGCGTGAGAAAGGATTTTGGCCGAGGTAACAGTAGGGTACGACGCCATGACCACAATAGCAGTAACAGGTCAATGAACACAAGTTTACGCATTGGAAATGTCACATCTTGAAGACTTCAGAAGGGCACACATCACCTTTCATTTCAAAGACAGATGAGCTTGGGTTCACTTCTCTTTGAATAACACTGCTTGCCCTGCTCAGTTTGAATATATACAAAGGAAAGTCATCCAAAGGTTTCAAGTAAGAGCTAAAAACCTGTGAAACTTTTGCATCAGCTGCAAACGCTTATGAAAGAAGCGCCAGCAGTCAGTTCTCTCATGCTTATGCCTATCCACACTGACCTGTTGGATGATAAATTATATCCTTGAAATGTGAAGTAATAGTGGTAACACTTTAGAATAGGGAACACTTATTCACTATTAACTACGACTTTTCCCTCAATAAATTCCTAATTTGCTGCTTATTAATAGTTAGTAAGGTAGTTGTTAAATTTAGGTATTGGGTAGTATTAGGGATGTAGAATAAGGTCATGTAGAATAAGGCATTAATATGTGCTTAATTACTACTAATAAATGGCTAATATTCTAGTAATATGCATGCTAATAAGCAACTAGCTAAGAGACCCTAAAATAAAGTGTTACCAATAGTCATACAAAACAGAGTGCGGTATGTTCATTTGTAGGCAGGTTATGTAGCAACTCATGAAGTTACATCACTGTTCGTCTCAAGTCAGTGGAAACCCGGTCGAAAAAAAAACAAGTAAAAGTGACCTCAAGCATCAATAAAGCACTAAAATAATCATGGGTTGCTGCTGCAAATCCTGCCACAGTTATCTCCTCTTGCCCTTGCTGTTTGCTCAGCTGGCAAAATCAATATCTGAAAGCAACTCAGGGTGCCTCCAATCATAACCTGACTAAAACCGAGACCTTCACCAATGAAAATAAGCCATCAAAAGTAGTTGAACTTCAAAAAACAAAACAAACAAAAAAAACATTTTAATGTACCATATTTGCTCTGCACCCTACCAGCATCTCTTTAATGGAAGAAACAATCAATAGTGCATGTTAAGCAATATCCTAGTCTTACTGACTTGTGACTGGCCTAACAAGTGAGTGTTTTTGTGGTGCCCTCCGAGCTAACATACACATCAACACGCATCAATGACGAGGCTGGTGTTGTCGGAAAGTATCCAATGACACGTCCCCAGTGAGTAACAAATGGCAAACAAAGCATGCAAACTGTCTATCGGCAATGGTTACAATCTGTGTAAAATCCTAATCAGTCAAGTAGAATAAATGGGCAGTCAGCTGTTGAAAGCATTTCCTCTATTTCCTCTTCCTGTAGAGATGAAAGGAAACTGACATTTAATACAGTAAGCGTCTGCTGTTGACAGGAAGCATATAATGGCTTATCACAATTACCTTGACAGAAATTCGACAGAAATTCAAAATTCCTTCAAAGTAAGAATTAAGCATAATTTTCACACTACTTTGAGCTGAGTGCACAGAAATGTCAGACTCATTGCATTCACTCAGAAATGGCAGCCCGTTGGACCGAACACCATCAAGAACAGTCTGGAAGTCTTCCATAAGTGTTGGGTTAGATGTCAGTAACACCTCTGAGGTTCCTGGCTGTGCTTAAGATTCATCCTGTTAAGATTCCGTGTTAAAAACGAGCCACCTAAACCTAGAAAAACCTAAATGTGAAGCAACTGCATTCAGAAATGCTTGCATATATAAGCTGATAGTATATGCTATGGTAGATGCATTGGAATTTTTCTATCTTTAATTCTGTCATTGTAATAGTGATATATCATTATAAGATTTTTTTTGTCTTATATAAGACCAGGTACATAGTTCTGGTGTCATTTATTGTGCAATTATTAACTCAAGCCCATATTTGTCCAGTCTTAAGATTTTCTTTCCTCAGTGGAACACAAATCCTGGCTCCTCTTTTCAAAATAATGGAAGTAAATGAGGATTTAACTTTCAAGTTCCAAAATGGCAAAAAAAAGCCACATAAAAGTATCATAAAAGTGGTCTACAACAATGATTCTCAACTTTGCCCTCTGTTGTCCAACACAATATTCAAAGATATTCAAAGACTTTATGAACAGAAAATGTTTTTACTAATATATAACATTAACTAACCACAATTCATGTTGTGATTATAAAGGTTCCAAGAACGTTTTTCAATTAGGACAATAGTTATTGAGAAGGAGAAAAAAGAAATATGATTTCAGTTAACATGCTTTTGCATTTAGATTTGATTTACATAAGAGTTCGATTATTTTAATGAGTAAAGGCCAGTTCACACCAAGGACGATAACTAAAAAGATAAAGATATAGATCTAAAAAACGTTCTCAATATTAAAGAATAGCATAGTCCACACCACAGCTAGAATAATAAAGGCACAGAGAAACGATATCGTTGGAATCACTTTCAGAACGTTTTTTTTTTCCAGCTGATGAATGATAAAAACATTAACAGTAGTGCTGGGCGGTATACCGGTTCATACCGAATACCGGTGTTTATTTTTGTTATGATATTTGTCACGATACTTTAAAAAAAAAAAAATAATAAATACCGTCATGAAACCGGTATAATTTTGAAAAATACCGTTATATAAATTTTTGGTCATACCGCCCAGCACTAATTAACAGCCAATCAGAATCCATCCTGCTATAACAAGCTTGAGAATTTAAAGCGGCAGACGAGCATGCACTGAGAATAAACAGACGAAATTGTCCGCTGGTGTGGACGCAAATACCTTTATCTTTATTATTATCTTTATAGTTATCATTCTTGGTGTGAACGTGGCTTTATTCATTTAAATACTCCATTAATTAAAGTATTTCAGTGGATCACTAGCCTACAACTAGTTCGGGAAATCTTCAGATTACGATAAATGACAGGATTTTGACAAACGTCTATGGAATTCTGTTTCCGTCTAATAGTACAAAAATAAAAATTGTGATAAAGTTTAAAATGAGAAATAAAGACAAACTGTGAAAAATAAAGCATTGACTATGAGAAATAACCATTCTAAATGGGTAAAAAATGCCACAGTTAAAGAAATAAAGTTGTGAGAGATAATATATCAATTACTATTTTATTTTATTTCTAAAGGTGAACAGTGGCTAAGGATGAGTAAATGACAACAATTTCCATTTTTGAAAAACAGCTGCACATCCTATTTATGTAACTGACCACATCAGAGACTGTTGAGAGTCTCTTTTACCTGATAAGTGTCCCACAGTCGAATGGTGCAGCGCAGAGGAAGTTCTCTCATAAGCAGGTTGTTCATCCAGCGGAAGGCAAACTGCAAATACTCCACCTCATACTGCTGCATGTGGCGATGTACCGTCTCTGTTAAAAACCAAAACAGTACAATAAATCACCACCCTGACGTCAATCACCCCATTCATCTATCACAAACAATTAAAGCATCATTATATTCTCTTCAGTAAAATTGCGACCAAACAATAAATGACAGCCACTCGACGGACACAACACAACAATAACACTTACTCTCCTCGCAGCTTTCTCGCACACAGACAGCAGACACGGTTCACAGATGACAGCCTGCCGGGCGTAAGACATAACACCCTAATAAAGCCATAAAGAATTTCTCTGTCCATGCCATCATGTGCTCGACGCTGTCATGTAAGCATGAGGTAATTACTCAGCTGTCATCCCAATGTCTGAGCGTGTTATGTTTGAGAGGAAACAGCAGCTTTATTTATGGATGTCTCTTTAATCAACACGGACGCGCCACTGATGGGTAGAGTGTGTAACATGCATGACTGCGTGTCCCTGCAGAAACATAGGCATCTTCATTCACCTCCTGACAAAGATGGCGTTCTTTGACCATCACACGCATGACAGGTTTTGGTAGGGAGCTGTGGGTGATATATTGAATATTCCCAATAGCCTATATAATATAATTACATATAATAATTAAAAGGATAGTTCACCCAAAAATTAAAATTCTGTCATAAATTACTGTAAAAATGTTGTTCCAAACCCGTAACACCTTAGTTCATTTTCGGAATACAAATTAAGATATTTTTGATTAAATCCGAGGCGATTTTAGTTTCTTATACTCTATACTTTTTATACTAAATATAAAATTTATAAAATAATAATAATAAAAAAAAAAACATTAAGGGGATAGTTAAATTAACATTCTGTCATCATTTATTTACCCTCATGACGTTTCAAGCCTGAATGACTTCAACATGCATTTTAAAGACTGTTGGTAGCAATGCTGTTTTGGTTACCAATGACTTTCATTGCATTAACAAAAAATATTGAGATATTTCTCAAAATATCTTCTTTTGTGCTCTATAGTTCATGTTAGACCGTTGTAGCCTAAATGTTTATGTGTAAAAAGTTTTACGTTGAATCATTATGCTAATACTTTCTCATTTAAAACAATAATAGCTTTAAATTATATTTGTGGATATTTTCACAACCAAATTTTGTTTGCAATTAATTAGATCAATTAATCGCCACTTCATGTAATTAGATAAAAAAAATGTAATTGACTGAAAGCCAATTAATATATATATATATACACACACACACACACACACAGTTGTGCTCATACATTTACATATCCCTTGCAGAATATGGAAAATGCTAATTTTAACAAAATAAAAGGGATTATGAAAATTGCATGTTATTTTTTTATTTAGTAGTGTCCTGAATAAGCTATTTCACATAACAGATGTTTATATATACTCCACAAGACAAAATAATAACTGAATTTATGAAAATGACCCCATTCAAAAGATTACGTACCCTTGAATCTTAATACTGTGTGTAGTTTCCTGGATGATCCACAACAATTTTTTTTAATGTTTTATGATAGTTGTTCACGAGTCCGTTGTTGGTCCTGAGCAGTTCAACTGCCTGCTGTTCTTCAGAAAACGTTTTGGTTTTCTAGCATCTTCTGCATATTTGAACCCTTTCCAAAAGTGACTATGATTTTGAAATCCATCTTTTAACACTGAGGACAATTGAGGGACTCATACATACAACGGGTAAAATAAGTATTGAACACATCACCATTTTTCTCAGTAAATATATTTCTAAAGGTGCTGTTGACATGAAAATTTTACCAGATGTCGGTAACAATCCAGGTAATCCATACATACAAAGAAAGCAAAACAAATAAGTTCAGAAATTAAGTTCTGTGTATTAAAGTAGAATGACACAGGGAAAAAGTATTGAACACATGAAGAAAGGGAGGTGCAAAAAGGCACCAGCTGAAATCTATCAGTAATTAGAAAGCAATCCTGCCCCTTGTCAGTGGAAATTAATCTTTGGATGCCATAATACACACCATGTTTGGAGGTTAAATGGCACTGCACATCACCCCAAAACATCATGGTGTAGCACTGGCAAAATTCATAGAATTGAAGGAAGGATGAATGGAAAAATGTATCGAGACATTCTTGATAAAAATCTGCCAATCTGACAGCGCCGTGAGCTCGTGCAGCACTGTTTGAATGCAATCCGTGCATGTATTAGAAAACATAACGTTCTGCAGTTTATTTACTAATCGTTTGAGGCCATTTCAGTACAATTTATTCGGTCTTTTCGCTTATTATAGAGCATGTTTTTTCCTATTTTCGGCCAAACAATTTCGGTTGCCGAACATTCGGTGCATCCCTATTTTATTTTAATTGCCTATAATGCCAATTGCAAACATTGCGATTGTGATTTAAAATACAACAACGAGCACCATGAAACCATTTAAAGAGGTGCATTCAGCGGTCTCCGTGATGGGATATGAAACAGCCAAAAAAGTAAAATGATACCACTATGATACAATGATTAATGGAAATGATAAATGATACGCTAACGCGCTCTCTTCATTTTATCAAATGATCATAATCACATCGATTCATTTTACAATCCTGCTACTAGCCTTTATTTAGACTAAAACCCCCTTTAATTTGGGTGAGGAAGCTGGTGTTTTGAGTGGCATTTGCACATCCTGTCATGTTGGTGAATATATGCCACTGCAATAGACGCATTTTGCAGTATTAAGCTTAACGATTAATTGATTGTTAATTTAAAAGACGATCGATCCATAGTATGTATGTATTTATTTATTTCAAAGTCTTGAAACCTTCTTGGAAAAAAAGGTATTAATTTATTTCTGTAAAAATAAACAACAACAAAAAAATCTTAAAGTTAAGTCATTACAGAGGAAATACATAAATAGAGATGTATAAAAAATGTCATAATTAAATTGAAAAATAAAGAAAAATATCAAGCTCTGCACACATACACCCACGTCGAAGATCATCTCCTGTCAAACCTCACGCTTGCCTTGACCGTGTCATTCTCACATCCAGCTCTCCTGAATAAACAACTTATCCTCATTAACGCTGAATACATCTCAGTGCCAAGAAACAGAGCCGACAGACTGACGAAACAAACACACCAATTTTGCTTATTAGCGCTGCAAATAAGCACCCTCATTTTAACCTAATTAAAGGGGTCGGTGGCAGATAAGGATGGCCATGATGATGAAATCAAAATTAAACAAAACTTCTAGTTTTACATCATGTTCCAAGTTCGAATCACAGACACGCTGACATAGAACAATATCGAATGACTATGAATGTGATATTGCTCTTATATATTTTATTGTTTATTGTTTTCATTATCATTTCATTATAATGGCAGACACACACGCACACACGCGCACGCACACGCGCACACACGCACACACGCACACACACACACACACATCCCAACCCCCTGAAAAACTTGCAGGTATAACTTTGATAGAAAATATAATTTCAAGGAGCCTAAATCCTACAATAAAAATGTAAAGTATGTTAGAATAAGCCTTGCAGATTTATTAGCAGAATTTGGATTGTCAGCAAAGAGCAAAGCAAAAACACATTTGCTTGCATACTTTTTCCACCTTCAATGCAGCAAAACACATGCAGGTTTTGAGGGGGGTGGGGAACAGGAAGAGGTCAGAGTTCACAGAAAGACAAGTGAGCTGTTTGCAACGATTCTGCTGAGCAATGAACTTCTGCTCGACTTCTGCCCCCACCCATCCATCCCATAATTACATCTGCACTGACCCTCTGTCTTGCCCTCGCTGCATTTCCAGCCAAAACCTGCTCAGACACCTAGAGAGAGAGAGAGAGAGAGGGGGGTCTACAACACCCACCTTCTGTGAGATCACAACAGCCATATCTGTATATGACTTATACAGGCAGAACCAGGGTTATTATCATTAACTCATAATAAAACTAAAACTAAAGTCATTAAAAAAACGTTACTTGAAATAAAATAAAGTACTGAAATTAATCATTTTAAAATAATAACAACATTTACAAAACCACAGCAAATGTATTAAAAGTTTGACTTAAAAAAAGTAATAATAATCTAAAATTAAATATTTTATGGAAAATATGACACTGACACTGAAGCTCAGGGTGAATAAATAACAACAAAACTTGAATATTTTTAGCCAACTATCCCTTTAAATTTGGACCAGGCCACTTTTTACATCTTATTGGTAACGTTCTCTGAATATGTGTGTGTGGATTATTTATTCACTGTCTCACTTCGAATGCACAATGAATTTAAGAATAGATGTGTGACAGTTGACAGCGACCATTGTCAATGCGCTGTCACTCTCACAAGATTGTAGAGATGACATTTATCATCACGGCAGAAAGCTACTTCCTGTGCTTGTTCATAAGCCATAAGTCAAACGCCTCGAGTCCAATAGGATCAATGTTTAGAGTTTCAAGTGCACTGCTTTTAATCTGACATTATTTCACATCTACATCTTCAGTCAAGGGGTTGACTCATGCTAAGCAAATGGAAAACAGGCAATACTGCACACATTTATAAGAGACCTTGGCAGCACAAAACAGCAACTAAAATGTTATTTTTGTCCTTTTGTCAGGACGTATCTGACATTTTCAATTCTGTTCTGGGCGCCTAAAAAAAATGTGTTCAACGTGACTTAAACGTTAACAGTGCTGTTGGAATTCATGCAATTTAATCTAACTCAATATTTGCCTTAATTGTGCTTCTGACTTGCCATGAAGAGGGCAATAAAAATGGTGTTTGACCTCAATAATATATGGATCACCTTGTATAAATATTTAATTTATTAAGTATAAATGCTATAATTTAATCATGTAGTAATTTATAATAATATAAATCCAATATTTGCATGTAATATTAATATAATATTTTACAGTATTTATTAAAATAATAAATTTAATTGCTATTTGAAAAAATAAATAGATTTTCATCTCTTTTTCAACTCCTCGCATAATTTACATGAAATTTGACACTGACCTTCCACAGCTTTATTG